GACGCGCACGGATGCATGCACGCCAGATCCCCACTGCACTTGAGATGCATCCGGGCGCGATTAATGCGCTCGAAGGTGGGATAGCGGGATAGGTTCGTTATTTTGATAGCGTCCTTGCGCACATCGCATTCACGACGCCCGCACGGAACATTCGCGCTTGAATTGAGTCGAGGCACCGGAGCATCGGAAAACGCGTCCGCGGACTTCCGCGGCTTCCTTTATCGGAGACGATCGGAAGCGTAATAATACATTGCGGCGAGAATTAAGACGAGAAACTGTGCCCTGTATCTCCCTTTCGATCAAGAATATTAAATAAAAAATCGAGGATATTGAATAAAAAAGATAAATTCGGTTCACCCTCTTTCTATATAAAATATAAAATTTATATTTTTTTTTTTTTTAAGAAGGGAAAATTCTTTCAAGTACATAATAATGAACTCTCTTGAAATTTCTGACGGGTATATCGTAAGTTGTCTGTTGTCAAGAAAATATTCTTTGTTGAAGATAAGTATACTCGGAGATAAGTTAAGATCGAAGTTAAAGACAAGTAGAGATGAAGGAAGAAGGGTAAAGTAAGTAATCGCTTTTCTTAGCAGCGGAACGATACTTTTCCCAGTGCGAACTGCATCTGCGCCGGCCGAGTCGAAATAAACAACGAAATCGAAATCGGCTTGCAAATTCAGCGCGCGTTGCGAAAAGCGCTACGCGCCAGAGAATTCGCGAAAATTTTCATAATTATCGTATATTGCGTTACATAGAAAGCAACCGAAAGGTTTCCGTGGAAGGTTCAGCGAAATCTGATATTTCCTCCGACTCGGCGCTCTTGTCGGTTGCAATATTGTTATTGTTGTCGTTGTTGTTGTTTTATCACGCTCGGATTTTATCCAGTTCCCGCGTTGAAACGCATATTATTTATTCGCGCGTCGCATTTATTCATTTTTACAAATACGCTATTTCATTATTTTAATGCAACGATCCATTCTGCGCGATTACGCGCGATAATGTATCGCCGTATTATTCGTACTCGATAGCGCGACGCGTGACAATTTCCGAAGCTTTCGTTATTCATTTTAATTTTTCGAGCGAGGAAAAAACCTATGGATTATAGAATAAATGTTGTTTCGGGCCAATTTTTTCTACACGCTCCAATCCGCGTTCGCGTACGATTAATCGCAACGAGGATCAAAGATTCATCGCGAGCGCCGCTCTTGTCTCTCGACCGAGCTTATTTATTAAAATACGCTCAGTTATGCAATTGGAATTTGACATCTCGTCGGACATTGACAGACACACCGGGAGACGGACAGAGAGAGATAGAGAGAGAGAGAGAGAGAGAGAGAGAGAGGGAGAGGGAGGAGGAGAAGGAGGGAAGAGGAACGATGGTAAAAAACGAGCGAGTTCTACTTCTCGCGTTTTAAGCTCCACCTAAGTTACATCTCGCGGTCTTTAGGACGCGCGTCAGCCGCTTTCGTATCGCGTAACCGGGCACCTCGCTAAATTACACGCTCGCGCACGCCGGGAAGATGCATTTCAGCAGATAAGCCGCGTCAGCGCATCGCGACTGTGCGCGGCTTGCCGTTATAACACAAAAAGCGGAAACTTTCGGCGGCGAGCGCCACCGCGTATAATGCGAAGGAGCAGCGGCGGCGGTTGTTGCGGAGAAAACTAAAGGACCGGGAGCCAACCCCCGCCGCCCTTAGCTGTCACTTCGAGCATGTAATGCATCCGTGCACCTATGCCGCATGCTGCAGCACCACCATTTCGACCGCGCACGAGTGCCTGCTGCCTCCTCCTTCTCCTCCGCCGCTATCACCATTTCCCTCTTTTCTCCGCGCTATAGATTGTGGATATACACACCGGGGGCAGAAGAGGCGGCTTTCACGGCCCCGTGAACCCTTTCGAACGTGTCCGCGGTGATCGCGAGCACGATAGGGCGCACGGAAATATTTTGACCGCGCGCGATCCTCCCCGTTCTTTATTCGCCGGGCGAATCTGTTTCGTGTCTTCGTAGCGACCGGGCGCGACAGATTCGACGAGGATTCACTTGGTGAGCTTGCGAATAGTGGGGTTACCTCTCGGTTGCCTTTGTATTCTTATTTAGTCAGTTTTCGCTTGTGCAGTGGGTCAGTCGAAAGTTCGCTCCGATCTTGATGCGTTCTGTGCCGCGCGGATCATGTTGAAGTTTCCGTTCGAGCCGTTTGATAATTTGGTCTTAAAACATAATGAAATCATGACATACTCTTGTAAATGTTATGAGACACATGTTATTTAATAAATGTAATAACACGACAACGTGGATGCAAAATATTCGACTCGAGAGAGAGAGAGAGAGAGGGAGAGGGAGAGGGAGAGGGAGAGAGAGAGAGAGAGAGAGAGAGAGAGAGAGAGAGAGAGAGAGAGAGCCGAAGAGAGGATTGTTTTGTGCCGAAACATAAAAATTTCATCATTTGACGTTTATAGAAATAAACATAAAATCTGATGTTAAAGATACAAATATTTGTATTCCTTTTATTGTAACTTTTCTATGTTCTTGGGGGATTGTTTTAGACTAAATAATAACGTTCAATCGATCAAAATGTTGACAGCATTCGCACAGTTTCATCGTGGAACGGCTTACCGTCGAAGACACCGAACCGAACCGAACCAGACATTTTCACTGAACCGATACTCGCGAAGGAATTTTGGATAAAAAATATGTAAGTAGTTAGTTTCATTGTTCACGTAATATGACGCGACATCATTATTCGATTACGACGAGACGTCGGACGATCGGATTACTTAGGAAGACTAAGAAAAAGCAACTTACCGTTACCGAGGAAGAAGACACGTTGCAGGTGGCAAAGGTCGCGCGGCGATGAGAGGGGTTTCACATCCTGTTCTCGGCGACTTTTCCCGGGGAGTTGCGCACGGAATTACGAGAAACTTAGGGCTAGCCGGCAGTTGCGCGAACAACACGCGAACTCCCTAAACTGACTAACACACGCCGCACTTTCGTGCAGCGGGCGCCGCTTCGCAAACGGCAAAACTAGACGCAACACACAACAACCAGGTACCGTCGAGCCTCTCTCGCTCTCCCTCTCACTCTCTCTCTCTCTCTTCCTCTCTTCAGCATTACTTCGGGCATGTAATGGAGCTTGCCAGACCCTGACGACGACGAGAATCAAAAGGTGCATCATTTCCACGCAAATACCGCTGTGGTACCAACAGGGACAACGAGAACAAATATTTGATGGAACGCGAGCGATATATAAATTCTTCCGGCGAGGCATAAGAGAGTCCACCGAGGCTGTGGAAAATATCGTCGAGAATCGCAAGATCGCGTTCTATTGCATTGTGAATTTATTCGGGAATTATATGCCAGCGTTGAAATCCGGACAGTATCGCGGTCAGCTTCAATAACAAAGATAATCACTTCAACGATAACTAAAGCACTATTGCACTATTAATATTCCCAAAGTGGTTTCTTCTTTTCCTTTTTTCTGGATTATGTACCTGTTTTTTTGCAATATTGCAAGTGGGGAATACGCGCAGGTGATTGTGAAATAGCATCGCGCGCACGCACACATTGTATTGTGCATTTATTTAGAAATTATGCGCCGGCACTAAGGTCCGGGAAATTGCGCGAGAGAGAGAGAGAGAGAGAGAGAGAGAGAGAATTTGGCTGACCCGAATAACAAAGCTAATTGGAAACATTTCAACAATAACTGAATCTATTCCCAAAGTAATCTTCCCTTTCTTCTTTTTTGGATTTTGCATTTACTTTTTCGCAACATATATATATTTTTTTTAATGCCGCGACGTGTTTTTCCATTTTCGATGAATAAAATGTATTTTCGATGGAAATAAAATAATCTCCCTCACGACTCATTAACGGATCAAAACCCAACGATTTTTAAAGATACATGTGTTTTTCACGTGTAGAGAGGGAGAGAGAGAGAGAGAGAGAGAGAGAGAGAAAGAGAGAGAGAGAAAGTACGCGAACGAAAGCAGCTTTCAACGTTTCGAATTCACAGGGCAGAAAAAAAAAATATCAGCGAGCTTAACTTCGGCACAGGCATCGTAGCGGTTCGTGTCTGCGGTCAGTCGAAAATTAGCCGTGAAAAATTAGCAGCTGACGGAAGAAATTAATGAGAAAGCAGAATAAATAGAAGCACACGCGCGCACTCCTATTTTCCGAGCTTTTTCCTACCGGCCGCTGGCGCAAAAGAAACCGCTCGTCTACATGACCTTCGACGCTAATTAGTGTATTCTTTGCGCCACTCGCCAATATTCGAACGATAATTAACGAATTCCAAAACACCTTCTGACATGAAACTCGTCGAGTAAACGGATCGAGTAAAAACGATGTTTTTTCAAACATAATTAATAAAATGCATACACTATGCATTGTTGCAAATTAACGCATCGGTGTAAGTTAACCGAGTCTGCGCCGACAAATAGAAGTATTTCCGCGATTACGTTATCCCAAAAACAAAAATGAAATCACTTCACTTTTTTACAAGAAAAACTTTAGCAATACGCGCGATTTTTTTCTTGCGAACAGGAACAACATATTTCATCTTCCGTCTTTCCGAATTTCGCAATTCTGCGGCGTCGTCGTCGTGAGACGAAAGACTATCTTCATCCAATTACGTTTCGACCGTGTTCGCTCGCGAGTACAAACACGATGAGTAGGAATTACGAGGAGCAGCGGCAGAAAGAAGGAGGGGGGACGGGAGGAGAGAGAGAGAGAGAGAGAGAGAGAGAGAGAGAGAGAGAGACCCGTTACATTTAGCAAATTTGACAAATCCTTGCTTGCTCACCGATCATTAAGCTGAATTGACATAATAAGCGCAGCCGCGCCACCGACTGCCGACCGAAGAACGGAATGTTTTCATTACCGCCGTTTCTGCCGTTTATTCGTCACCGCGAACCTAATTTACGCGCACGAACGGCATTTCCGCCCTATATAGGCTAGACGGAATCGGTATATGCGCTGGCATTAGTAATAAAACATCATGTTAATTAGTCAATGCTGTGTTTAATGAGGTATTCGGATCGTACTATATAGATTAAAATAACGATCGCGCTTACACAACGTACTTCAGCGCGAACATTATTATTATTATCAATATCATTATCATTATTATTATCTTACGCAATCATATTAATTAGATCTAACATTTATCATAGCGACCAGCAAGATTAATATAAAAATAAAACCGTTGAAGTACGCGACGTTAGTAATCCAAGGTCTAACATTCATAATTTACAATATGGACAGTGAGATTTCTAAAAATCGAACACATCATCGCCAAAATACTAAGTACACTTTGAAACAATGATATACATCATTTTCTTTTTTTCAAAAGATGTTGAAAAATTTGATACTGAGTAATAAATTAATCGATTACAATGTGAATCCTAATTACGCTGATTCCTTTTTTATGTTAAAAATAAGTATCCAAATAATATTGTTATAACCTCGAAAATAAAATAGGAAAATGCTTATTATCACCAATTTTAAAAACAAGGCGATAATAGTACCATAATTATTAATTTAGCAATATACTAAGTACGTAATAACGAAATAAAAATAGAATGAACATAGAAAAGATAATAATATAGAAAAAAAAGTAATCGTTAGCAATGGCTGTCCCCTTCTTTTTTTTCATCACTTTCCATAACTTCTGGTTTTTCATCAGGATAATGCTTGTCAACACCGGCATCACCGCTAGCAGGATCTGATGCATAAAAATAATACTATCATTTTGTTCATAAAAAAAAATTGCGCTATTCATGTAAAGGTATGTTGCTATAGACATATCATGTATTTCTCTCTTAGAATTACCTTGCTCCAACGTGATCTGCTTCATTCTTTCTGAACCTTTCAATTGTTTCCTCAGCACAGTATCCTACAACACAAAAATACATTACATAGAAGATTTATATTATGTGTATATATTTAAATAAAATATTATAAACATGTATCAATGGAAATAATCGTGACAGTACTTAGAATTTTTTTACATAAAATAATCACGCAATAATTATTTTTATAACAGCTTCAATTCGATAAGAAAAGAATTATATTTTATATATGTAACATATCCTTGAATCATGGAAAAGTAAATATAAAGAATTAACATATCTAACAGAACAAGAAAGCACTTCATACCTCGTAAATTCGATCAATGCGTTCTTGATTTACTTGGTTTCCTCTGCCCTTTATTCCAAACCTGAAGAACGGTCCGATACCGAGATTGAAAGATCCGCCAATTAAGAAGAGTGGTAATAATATTATGCATACGCAGAAACTTATGGAAAGAATGATTGTAACAGGGAATGCATATATGCCATTCATCTTACCTGTGAAACAAAGCTACAGTTAACTACTTTTGTTCCATATAATGCTTGTATTCAAGTATATTATTGATTGCGAGACATTTCACTTACTGGTAGCGTTATCTATAAATTCAGACATAATAAGCCCGAGATATGACAAAGGATGAAAAATAACTGCACTGAGGAAATGTGTTAATGCAAACGCAGGTGTTACTTGTAGCCTTGGATTGGCCATAAGTGTTTCGTAGTATTTTTCACAATCGTTTGTACCTACGAAATAAATAATACATATATGATCAAAATAGACATGAGACTAGAGAGATCATGAATATATCTTAATATTACAAAACTCACGCGAAAACCACACAACTATCTTATCCCATATACCCATCTTGTGTGGCTGACAAGCTATCGGCATTTCGGCAAATTGCGCTTGTGCTGCCATTAATTTGATTTCTGCCTCCTAGAAAGCAACAATATTTAAGATTAAAAATCATTGCCAATCTCATTCGAAGATATATATACAAAGTTCTAACACATACATATCACTGTAGATCTTAGCTATACTTGATATGCACAAAGAGATATGCATTTTTAATGAAACAAAACACAAATTACTTGTATAAGTCGCCACCAAGTTATGAAGAAACTTGTCACAAATATAACATCAAACAGCAAAAAGATAACCAAACCCCGAGACCATCGTTGTCTTTTCAGTACAATAAAGCTGCATACAACTATAAATAAGATTATAGTTATATCCCACTGCAAATGTATATCGAAGATCAATTAGATTGCATATCTAAAAATTGTTATATATTATCTAAATCACAATTAGGTTGCATTTTATACTTTGAATAACCAAATTCCAAATGTTATTGATTCTTACATGTTCTTTTATAATCAATGCATATTGAATTAATGATTCTGACAATATGCTGAAATAATAAGATGTTTGAGTTACATAGTAACTCCCTGGATAATTTGATTGTTTTATCACACTATCGAGTATTCTGTCAACTTCCTTTATAGAACCCTGTCCTTTTACAAAATCTTGTAGATACTTGAATTGTGAAGAAGATGCTTCCATGCTGAGTGTGCCTATTAGATTGTCATTAACCTCCTATAAATAATGTCAATTATTATTTTATGTAAAGAATTGTAAATATATGATATTGGTATAAAATAATAAATCTGCAATCTCAGATTTAATTAGATTTTATAATAGGTATAATAAACTTACCTGTACAACTAAATTTGACAATAATACAGCAATCATACGTTTGTAAAATACTGCTTCCTGGGTATTACGTCCATCCAATTCTTTGCAGTTGCATCGCTGTGCTATTTTGAGATGATTATTCATAGTTTTTTGTTCCAAAGGACTAAAATTTTAAACAATAAAAGTTATTTGCTAATTTATTTAATAACATTATACAGCATATATATTTTATCTTATATCATATACTTTACCGTATAGAAAATTGTATACCTATTTAATTCTTCTTGGGACTTATAAAAGAAAAAGTTTATTTTTTCAAGATCATCAGTTGATCTGAAATAATAATATATTTATACAGTTTATATATTTATATAATATTGTTTCTTAGTTTTATATAGTAGATAGAACATATACACTATGTTCTATTAATGTTTCATTGATTCAATAATTACAAGCATGGTCCTACACTATTATTGCATTAATGAACCAACACAACTTTATTTAATGTGGTTTCATTTATGGTAATAACTAAATGGTAATAAGTAAAATGGTACATATTATATATCAATATGGTACAATATGATCAAATGGTACATATATATTAATTTAGATATTTGTAATATTTGGTCTGTTCACATAAGAAACAGATATTATCTATTTAAGAACATAGAACGCTAGAAATATTATATATATAAGATCAAGTTTAAAAACGTCTCATATTCCAAATATTTCTTTTTACCGGCTAATTATTTCATATTGTGCATCAAAATACTTACTGCGTGACATCATCGATTACGTCTACTTCCTCACAATAAACACTAAAAAGGAATGTACATAATAATATTACAAGATATATTAGTGTTTTAAGAAACTGCATGATCCATGGATTGTCTTCACGCTCTTCGAAAATGTCGCAAGAATATAAACAATTACTACATTCTAAAAAACATTGGTGAATCTCTCACTCTCTCTTTCAATTCTAGCTTCAAACACCTAATAAAACAGATTCTCCAACTCCATTGTTCGATAGTCGACACTGGTCTCTCTCTCTCTCCCTCTCTCAATGTTGGCTAGTTCGACACTGGTGAAGCCCCTGAAATTATAGGTTAGAGACAAACGATAATCGACTAATAAATCGATATTGAACTTTTCTTTTTTCTCGTTAAAGATCGATTATTTTCTCAATATCTGAAAATTTTTAATCATTCTTATTTGGAATTATTTAAACATATAACATATGTTTAAATAATAAAACATATAACATATATATATATATATATATATATATATATATAATCATGCATATTTTCCAACAAAGAAACAAATAATATTCCTCTGAATCTCTGCCATTGAATAGCTCAGTGACAGGTGAAACAATATTATCTTCAAATAAACAACTCAATGATAGATAAGAGAAAATTTATTTTTAAGTTATATATGTAATGACTGCTATATATTATATAATAGTTATTGCTGAAATACATACATTTATACCTTTATGAATAGATACTTCTTTTTTATTACAATAAACCAAAATGCAATTTGATTGTTAAACAAGAGGAATCAAAAAGAAAAAATATTATTAATGCTTTAATACTAATTGACAATATCACAAAGCAAATTATAAACGCATGATACATACATAATAATTAATTGTTTCTCTCATGTATATATATATTTTTTTATACATATATTTTATCTTCAAAATAAGTAAATTAAGTTAGAAATCAAAATCTAGAATGATGTTTTGGTATACAATACTGAGTATCATTTAACAATCTTGTATTTATTGTGAAACACTTTATCTTCAGGTTTTACTTCGCCAAATCTGGCTTTTCTTTTCTCTAGTCGTTCTGCTAATTCAGCCTAGAAAAAAAATTGTTTACTTATAATTGTAATAAATTATAATAGAAAGAAAAAATAAGTCATTCATTTACCTTTTCCATTAGAGTAGACACTGATGTGCCAAATCTTTCTGCGCGTTTCTTCAATACCTCATAAGTAGTATGCTAGAAACAAAATTAAAGTTTTAACTTACATAATCCCTGAAATTAATATTTCATTCAAATAGCATTTATACACGGATCCATGTAATAAAGTATTAACTTCTCACCACAGGTGTTTTTATAGATGCTGCTGATTTATTATTTTGATTGTTTACATTGAATCGAGCTAATCTAGCTTCCTTCTTTGCAGCTTCAGATAATGGTACTCCAAATTTCTTTGCTCTCATCTCTAGTCTCTGTCAAAAAATTAACATTATTAACATACAATTATCACAATATACAATTGACAATATAATATTAAGAAATGTGTATTATATATCTATTGTATTGTATATTTCAAGTATAGATTTAAGTGGTTTTATAGTCCAAGCACAAATACAAACTATGTAATTTTTTATTACCTCTTTCACACCAAGCTCTGATAATTTAATGATCTTCTTCTCAGATGGTACAGCCTCTGGAGATTTTACACTTTTATTTTCATTCTTTTCAACTTGATCATTCTTGATTTCCTCCAGTACAGATTTGCGATTTAATACTATCTTTTTTGCATTACCATTGTTGCTATCTGTGGACAATTTCCGTTTTTCAGGAAGTTCTTGTGAATCTGGCTTACTAGACAGTTCTTCTATTTCTTCATCCTATAATAATTTAGCAGTGAATCTTTTGTATTATTTGAAACAAATAGATATAATTACTGCATTATCTGTATTATACTAACTAATAAAATTATATATATGCTATATATACAATATTCATATATAGTCGTTAACACCATATCATATCTATTACTTACTCCAAGGACTTCATCTTCATCTAAAATCTCTTCTGCAGTTTCATCTAAGGATAATGTAGAATCTAAGACACAAATTATAAAATTATATAAACAATTATCAATATAACCTAATTTATTTCTATTAAGAAGAATAAAGAAAAAAACAGACCACCATGCATCGCTAATTGAAGTCTCTCAACTAATTCATTTTTATTGCCTGTACTGGGAAGTCCTCTTTGCTTTAATTCGGCTCTTAAATCAGCTACCTAGTAAAGAACATATTAAGTTTAATATAAGAAAAAAAATTCACATGCAATGAAATTTCATCATACAAGTTTGTTTTTACTAAATTGTTCAGTCAGTAACAATACAGATATACATACCTCCTATAATTTCAAATATCTTGAGTTTCTTACATTTTATTTACATTGTATTAGTAATATTAATTAATAGATGAATATTAATAAACCCGTGTAAAAAGAAAAAATTTTTTCACCTATAAGCTATATCGCTCGATACTAAGCGATATTTGGTTGCAATCAAATATATGAAGATTTTATTACTGTGCAGGAATTGATTAATAAAATGGAACTTTCTAACTAACGGCGGAAATAGATATAACAAAGTATTTCAAATCACAGCACGAGTGCTTTGGTTGATCCCCGCAAACAACTTGGAGGTTAGTTAACGAAGTAATACACACCATTACGGATACCGGGTAACTTGCAATACACACCTTCATCTTCGACAGTTCGCTAAGTCCCTTTTCGTAAGACGAATCTGCCATTCTGTATCCACCGTATTGAGTATCAAGTCGTGTCAGTTATCAATAATTAACTAACACCTCACTTTCTCCATTTATAGTGCTCCATACAAAACTCAATGTTAGGACGCGCCACTTCTCGGCAACTCAATTATTCCATTAAACAACCAACCATCGACAAAATACTATAAAGACTGTTGGTCTTACGTAGAGATCCTTAAACAGAGATCGGCCGATGGGTGAACGATTGCTGATTGGCTCGCGTCGTATGGGGTAAAACCGGAAATGAGAGAAAAAGATATATATATATATATATCATAACCAGAAAGTCTAACTTTTAACCGACATAACTATTCGTCAAAACAATTTTTCGTTAAAACGCAAAGTAAAATATGTATTTTATTATCAATAATTTAATGTAGTATTTATTATTATACTTATTGCGTATTCATATTTCTGATTGCAAACTCAATTTTAGCTACATTTATTATTCGATATACATCCAGCTATTTATTGTCGCACGTAATACTCCGAAGACCAGTTGCACACAGGACATAGGCCGCTTGCATACAGAACGCGGCATGAATGCCGCGCAGCGGAAGTTGGCTAGGGAATACTGCGGTAGCCATTCAGCATCTTGCTTGCCCAAAAATAGTATTTACGAACACGCGACATTTGGAACGTTGATTGGCTATTGAAATATTCCCTAACCAATATCCGCTGCGTGGCAAACGCAGTCAATGTGTGCGTGCGTGGTGAGGGAAATCAGAAAAGTGTCGTGGACAATGGCTGCGTTCAGTACAAAATGATCAGTGAGCGCTTAGTAATTATTATCTGTGATTGGAGATTCTTCATAGACCCAGAAGTATTTACCAATCAGGAGCAAGAATCACTAAGCGCTCACTGATGACTTTGGTTCTGCTGAACGCAGTCATTGGCATCGTAGTTGATGTGCACGGTTGTGCAGAGGGCGCCTCACACTGGGCTCGGCTAAAAGTGGCCCGTGACCTCTCTCCTTCTTCTCTCTGATCTCGCTTACCCGGAAATAATAGTTACAAAACACGCGGTATGTGGGATGTTGATTGGATACCGCGGTATTCCCTAACCAACTTCCGCTGTGCGGCAAGCGTTGCCACATTTTAAGAACCCTAAAGGCCTTCACACACGAATCTACTTAACACGTAATATGTAAACCGTAAAGAAATCCTACAATCACAATCGAAATTTAAGGACGCCATTTTAAAACTTACGAGAATAATTGATTGTGATTGGTCAGTTTCTTTACTGCTTACATCTTTACATCTTACTGCTTACTGCTTTACATCTTACTGCTTACGTTTATTTGTGTGTGAAGGCCTTTATTCCCGAAACAAATTGCTTTTTATTGTTAAACACGTTGTACTAATGCTTAAGCACTTCCAGCGATTGTAAAAAATTGGGCAAGGTATCATTTTCTTTGTCTCAACGAACACTATCGAATGCAATTCTAAAAGTTTACCAAAAAGCCTAGTTTAAATTTCGCTTAGTTTTATAGGCCCATGGAATTAAGCGAAAACTAAACCAAACGTTTTTTATGAACTTTTAAAATCGTATTTGACAGTACTCTTCGAAACAAAGAAAAGACACCATACCCGACTTTCTACGATTATTGGAAGTGCTTGAAAATTAGTGCAACATGTTTAACAATAAGAAAACAATTTATTTCTGACATTTACGGTGGTCGTAGAAAGTCGAGGATGGTATCATTTTCTTTATCTCGAAACGCTCTACCAAATGCAATTCTAGATGTTCATAAAAAAAGTCTAGTTTAGATTTTGCTTCTTTTTATAAGCCCATGAAATTAGGCAAAATGTAAACTAGATGTCTTTTGTGAACTTTTAGAATTGCATTTAGTAGTGCACTTCAAAACAAAGAAAATGATACCTCGATCGACTTTTTACGGCCACCGGAAGTACTCGAAATAAATTGTTTTCTTATTGTTTAACATGTTACACTAATTTTCAAGTAGTTCTAGTGGTCGTAGAAAGTCAAGTGCGATGTTAGTTTCTTTGTCTTAAAATGCATTATTAAATACAATTTTAAAAGTTCATACAAAACCTGGTTTAGTGTTCGTCTAATTTTATAGGCCTATAAAAAGAAACGAAATATAAAGCAAGCGTTTTTATGAATTTTTAGAATAACACCTCGTCTAACTTTCTATAATTACCAGACAATTGTCTTGACAAGCAAACTATCAAATGCAGTTTTAAAAAGGGCAGCTATCACATTGATGTGATTTGAGTATTTGAAATCGAAATATAACTTAAAAATAAATAAAGTTGGAATACTTCGTTTTTCAAATATACCTACCCAACTGTAAGTCAGATCTTTTTACTGTATTACGAAATATAGATGAAATTCAAGATTAGACTTTAACTTCAGCAAAAATAGCGATGAGATGGTGTGAAAAGCATTTTAATGCTTGAAATCTCTATTTGTCATATTTACTATTGTATAAATTTGTAACATTATTATGATTTATTATTAAGACATATTCAATTAAATAAGGAATGATGATAAAATTTTTATTTCATTTTTTATTAATTCTAATATTGAAAATTAAAGTTTATTAAAAATATTATGAAATATGTTTTAAAGAGAAAACTTTATATTTTTAATTTTCTTATCATTCAGTGAATCTCGATTTTTATTTGTGTTAAGTCGTGAGAAATAAGTAAATTTTATTATAAGTATCGAAAATACAAGAGTAATATAGAAATTTTTAGTTGTAAAATAATTCTAGTATCATCTCTTTCTTTATTATTTGATGGAAGTTACAATCCATTTAAATTTGTTTATTTTTTACCATGGAGAGAAAATATACTCTAGCAAAACAAAAACATTTTTTGCTTTCAACAAAAATATCAAATCGTTTTAATTTAAGGATATATTAGGGTATATAAGGAGAGATACACAAGTAAATACAAAGTAATTCAATTTAATCAGCGGTTTTAAATATTTTTCTTAAGTACTCTTATATGTATATCTTAGATATAATCTTAGATGCGTCCTAAGACATTTTATATATCATATGATGAAAATTTAACCATATATAATTGCTGCATGTATATTAAGAAATAAATAATACTCGCAAAATCTAAAAACGTGAAGGATAAATTTCAATTAGTCGATATGTATTTCTTAGAACACCAATACGATATAAAATAAATATACTTGTCAAATTATTAATCGACTTACCTTCAAACCATAAGTAGGTAAAGTTTATTACCAAAAAAAAATTCATATCAATTATTATTGATAATTTTCAAATTTTTTCGATTAAAAAAACTAAGACATTTTTTAATCGATTCTCTGGGAGCCGATTATTTTCTTCAACATCACTCATCCCTCTTTAATTAGATACTTTTATTTTTTAAATTATATAAATCAGTGGCAGATAAAAAATTCTTCGACTCCTTTATAAAAAATAGGCAAAATTTAACAGGTTATATCTTCGGTAAAAATGAGATCGTTTATAACGCATTTTATAGCTTAAAACTAATTTTTTGTATGTTAAAAATTATAATGTTATTATCGTTTTTTGCAAAGATGTATCAAATTAAATGAAAAGTGGCATTTATTTAATTTTCAATATTATATTTTAGTTGAGATTTTACATCGAAAAATTGTACGTAAATGAAAAATATAAGTGCATTTAAATATAATAGGAAACTTTAAGCTTTTTATTTATGTTTTAGCAAATGTTATATATTGATTTGTTTATTTTCTGTGAAAGATTTAAGGCAAGATTTTATTTCAAGATTAAATAACGGCGAAAAGAAACTGCACCGTAATCTAACTTGTAATATTAAAATGCCTCATAAACCACTTTATCATCATTATTTTTGCAAAAGTTACAATACGCTGAATTTTGCCCATTTCTTATAATCAAAAAAGTAATACTTTAATTTTTATATACAATGTTATGTACTAATAAACATTCTGAATAATAAATCAAGTTGTTTTCATATTTTCTCAACGATTCTGTATATAACCTAATACATTGTCTATTAAAATATAATCAGTAACTTTGATTCATTTAAGAATTTTAAATAAATGGTGATAAAATGACAAGATAAGAGACTGACAACATATACAACGTTCGATTGTTACTTTTATTTCGAAACATCAAAGTTCTCCGACGTCCAAAGTCAGTCAGCAGCGCATAATAAACCAATGACAAAATGACCGTTGATTATTATTATCGATTCGTTAAGCATCTCCGCGACGGCAATCACCCTCCCTCATTTTTCGTCCGGAATTCGTCGATTCGCGTATCGACAGTTCGCATGGCGGTCGATCTACGCGAAACGCGAGTTTCTAAAGCGGCGCGTACATTGACACAACATCCATTGATCTAAAAATGTCCTCAACACTCTCTTCGGAGTAGGAAAGGAAAGTAGGAAGAATCTGGAGTACCGAAGCCTCCGATTTATTATCTCATTTTCTCTGTCTTTCTCTCACATTCTCTCTCTCTCCCTATCCCTCTCTCTCACTTTCTCATTCTCTCTTTCTTTCACTCTCTCATTCTCTCCCATTCTCACCGTCGCCCTGCCACATTGTTCTCTCTTCATCTCTCTGTACTCTCTCACATATATACGCTTTTTCTTTCTCTCTCTCATGCTCGTACATATTCGCGCACAAGCACATGCAAGCGGACACACACACACACACACACGCGGACGGACACACACACACATACACACACTCTCTCTCTCTCTCCCTCTCTCTCTCTCTCTCTCTCTCTCTCTCTCTCTCTCTCTCTCTCTCCTTCTCTTTCTCTCTCTACATTCTTGTCTTTTGGCACAAAGTCATCCGGCACTAAGTAGCTTAGCGATGACCAGCAGTAGATGCCTTCTTCACCGTGGCCAGAGTATCGGTATGAAGAGAAACATTGATAGGATGTGCGACAAGCTGCTACCGCTTCCGCAGAACGCTCCGCCGCCGTTGCTGCCGCCGGAACTTTGAGCGGCCTCGGCTAAACCTACGAAAATCGTATCCTTGCCGAAATTGCTCCTTTGAGAGAACACCGCGATCGATGAACGTGAGATTTCGTCCATGGAATCAGACACTTTCCCTTCTCTCTCTTTCTTTTTTCTTCTTCATGAAATTGGCGCGCCGAGGTGATCAAATTATATCTCGGAATCATAAAATTGATGACAGCGCCACAGGCTGATTGAAGTATTTGCATGTGGATGTCCGAATATCCGCAAAAGATGGAGAGAGATAATATACGCTACACTTACCACCGATAATGGACACGTGATCCTTTCCGCGCGACCCCCCTCTGTCGGAGCCGATTTTAATCTCTGGAAATAAAGAGCGCGCGAGGGAGATCTCGAGGATCCTGAGCCGTAAAATTAGAGCGAAACTCGTCTACTAGCGCTGACGGCAAATGCAAACTCACCGTACAGTCTGAGAGTTCCGTCCGCTTTTCCTAGACTATTCGTTGAGACGCATTTGTAGCTACCGACGTCCTTCTCCGTGAACCTTTTGATTAGGAGCCACATCAGGACCGTGTATCCCGTACGTTCCTCTCGTACTCTGTACTTCGGTCTGCGCATTACAACAACAAGAAAGAAGACACTTATATGGCGAAGCGAACGAGCCATCGAGCGAACGACTCTTAAACATCTTTTTAGTACTCTTTTTACTCTTTTTTCACAAGTTTGCCGTTACGCCGCAAATGGATTATTTGCATTTAGAAAAATATAACGAGATGAACGCGCACTCACCCCTCCAATAACATTTCGTCCTCCGTACCCTCGTGCTGATTCTTCACCCAATAATTGATCGTGTTCGGGAACGCCTCGACGTAGCACTCCATCTGCACATCCGTGCCCAGAGGAGCACCCAGCAGCTGGTTGGGTGCTTTTACAACGGGTGCGACTACGGAGAACGGCAGAGTCAGTAGTCAGTAGAAAAGTATACGCGATTTCTCGTAGATATTTACATATTTAAGGAAAAGACAAATGTATAAATAGTATTGGTACTAGTACAGTATTATTATTATTATTTATCACGCCAGAATTTACATAGATGTTCTATTAAAATATGCGTCAAGCTATAAATACATATAGAACTGCAAGCATAAACATCAAAGAAGTCCTTAGAAGCCCCAAACCGCGTTTCCTTTAACCTTTCAACTTTAACATCATAGCAAGTATAATTATAAAATTGAACTTTTCAATATTGAATAACTTAATCGACGAATTTGATTTCTGAATAACTCATATACTTGAATTATATATTATTCCAAGTATAGATTCTGTAAGCAGTACACACACGAGAGCCATTTCTGAACATGTTTGAAATATATTTCTTTTTCCCTCTTTCGCGTTTTCCTCACCTCGAGAGGTGACCGACAACTTAGCACTTAGGCGATCGTTACCACGGCCGTTATTTCCTCGCGAAGCTATCGGCATGTTATTTTCCAAAGGGATAATTGGCGGATCGGATCGACCAGTTGGATAATATCGGGTGAGAGAATCGGGCTTACAATTGACAGCGAGCGTCACCCGCTTGCTAACCGCCGGCGGCACGTCGTTGCTGGCGATGCAGAGATACGCCCCCATTTGCCGCCTCTCGACACGGTGGAAATGCAGCAGCGAGCCGTTGTAGTGGTCGTGCTTCTCGAAAGTGCTACCACCTGCGTACACGGGACAACACACTTTACCCCGCTGCATGTCCTGCCGCTGCCCGAAAGAAAATAGAAAAAAAAAAACAGAAAAGGGGAGAGGAAGAAGAAGAGAAGAGAGGGAGAGGGAGAAAAGAGCGATCGATCGATCACGATCCCGTTCTTGGCTTTTCGCTCGTCCCAACAAGGGAAAAACAAGCAAGTTCGACTCCGTTACGTCCGAACTATTCCATTTCCCGATTACAAAGCCAGTGGAGAAAAAGAGAGAGAAGGCGGGGAGAGGAGAGAAAGAAAGATAGTTGTTAGAGAGGCGACGAAACGAAATACGCTGAAAGTTTCGTCAGGTCAGGAACGCACGTAGATCCGGAAGCGGACGGGAGAGACAGAGGATGCTCTGAAGAGAGCGTGCGAGAAAATATACACGCTTGATTCTTGGATTACTTAGGTAGTTGGCCAAGCAAGTGAGTAAGTGAGTGAGTGAATGAGTGAGTGAGTGAGTGAGTGAGTGAGTGAACGAACGCTAACGAGTTTGCCGAGTTCTCCTGAGGAGAGCCGCGCGCGAGCGCGGTTGTCGGTATCTAACAAGCTGAACGCTGATAAGGATCCCGAAGGATCGCAGTGGTAGCTCGACTAGACTTGACTATTCGAGGATAGCCGATCGCGCACAGATATTTATGCCGACTACTAGTTTCGCTAACTTAGGAGACTGGCGATTGCGAATGCGCCAATTTACGCGGGCGCAGCTCGACCTCTCTGCATGTATATATATGTGCGCGTGTGTGTAATGTGTGTACATGTGAATTGATGTGTGTGTGTGTGTGTATGTGTATGAGTGTAATGCACGCGCGCACAGGTCGAGATATCGTCGAGAGAAAATCCTCGCATCCTCTCTCTCCCTCTCTTGGTCGGTGTGAGTTGCGAGTACTTCTCTCTCTCTCTTTCTCTCGTTGTCGTTCTTTTCCTCTCTGCTTCCCTCCCTCTCTTTCTCTCTCTCTCATTTCATCCTTCGAGACCAGTTTACAAAGAGGAACTTGTTTCAACGAGCTTACTCGTTACTTCCTCTCGTCCGCGTCCTTACACTCAATCTATATATCTACCAGGATGCGAATTCGAGGAGTCCATCTCTCTCTCTCTCTCTCTCTCTCTCTCTCTCTCTCTCTCTCTCTCTCTCTCTCTCTCTCTCTCTCTCTCTCTCTCTCTCTCTCTCTCTCTCTCTCTCTCTCTCTCTCTCTCTCTCTCTCTCTCTCTTTCTCCTTCCCTCTCTTGACTTCTCATCGGTTCTCTCTCTCTCTCTCTCTCTCTCTCTCTCTCTCTCCCCCTCCCTCCCTCCCTCTCCCTCTCCCTCCTCCTCGCTCCCACCCTCTGTCTCCCTCTGTGCAACCACTTTCTCTCTATGTGCACCTTCGATCTACGGAAACGCGAGTGTCGTCGCCATCGTCGTCCTCAAGATATCGTTACGGAACAACGACGTCAACGACGAGCCGGAGGAGAAGAAAAACATCGATGAACAACCATAACTCTCCGTAACGAAACTTCACGTCGATTCTTCGTTAATGGAAGCTCTCGAAAATCCTCGCGCTTTTAAATCGAGCTGAGAAAGTCTGCGAAGAACGAGCGCTTTCGTGTGATTACACGTGAGTTACCGAATCGATTTCTAAGGGAGCTACGGAGCGCGCGGGTCGCAAGGCGGAAAAGCGCGATTTTGAGTCGTGATTTCGAGCTTCTAACATGACGCGATCGATTCTCTCCGCGAAGCGACACAATAACGCTAAGTGCGATCGGTCGGGAAAGGATCTCTCTCGTCCCGGTCGCCGATAATAGATAGCGGTTTGACACGTCGCGGTGACTATCTCGCCCCGCGACTGCGAGGAGCTAACCGAGATATATCGGTGGCGCTTAATTATCCTATCGGTATCGAGCCATTAACACGAGTTAACACGTAGCGCGCGTAATGCCGCCGCCACCGCCGCCGCCGCCGCCGCGCGATATGACATTCATTTCCCGCGCCGTCCGCTATTGCCGCGCTATTGTTTCCGCGCGTTTCATTCGTTATTTTATCATTATTATTGTTGTCATTATCATTATTCCATCATCCGCTGAATTGTCTTATTTATTATTAATTACCATCGCGTTATTATTATTTACGGCGCTGCGTTCGTCCGCGTCCGGGGCGCGTTATTATCGCTTTATGTCGCGATCGTTCGAACGAGCCCCGATCGAGTCCCACGTACCTGCCGTGGAGGTTCTGATGACGATCGGCTCGCCGTCCTCCCTGCGCCAGGACACTCTCGGCGGTGGACGTCCCGTCGCCCGACAGCTCAGGGTCGCGTTGTCGCCTTCCGCCACTGCGAGATCCGCGCTGGTATCCCCGCCGTAGACGATGTCGGGCGGCACTGCGGGGACAAACGATAAATACGTAACGGCCATCCGCCTGTCGAACGGACGACCTCTCGTCCTCGTCCTCGTCCTCTCCTCTCCTCTCCTCCTCCTCCTCCTCCTCCTCCTCCTCCGCCTCTTCATCATCTTCTCGCTCCGGGTCGTCGTCTCCGAGTAACTGGGTAACGTCTCTCTTCTCCCGTGCGGGTACTTTATGAAAGTCATTACGCAAAACCGCCACTTTGTCGGCCGTCTCCGAAAGAACGAGTATCCTCGAGAAGCGTTTACGGCGTAGCGTAGGTAGAAGGCGAGGAGCGAGAATAGGTACACTTAAGTGGAATGTTCGAGAGGAGAAACGCAATAGGTGGTGAAGAAGGGGGAGGGGGTAGGTGCAGCAGGAAGAGAAGGAGAGACGACGGAGGTGGGAGGAGAGTCATTTTACGGAGGGAATCTTTTGTACGTAGCTGCACGCATTTTCCGGTTGTTCGTTCGGGCAAAGTCAAAAGCCCGGCGCGTGCGGCATAACCGTTTCTCCGGTTATCTCTCCCGCGCGTATCTCGCGCGCGCGAGAGATTTGCATGATCCGCGGGATAGATAAATATTTAAAGGTACCTTGCGTTATGCATCACTTTACGACGGTGGCTGACCTGGTCGTTTAAGCGCGTCGCAATTACAATCGATTCCTCTCGCGAGCGGGCGGGCGGCCGGGCGAGCGAAGAGGAGAATGAGAATAGGTGCGGGTCGCGCGAGATGAAAGCTAAAAGGCGACACTGATAAGCTCGCGCTGATACCGATCACCGGCGTAATCGCGATGAGATGAATGTACACATCGCGCGCGTCACAGGACAATGGCGCAGGAGAGGAGGAGGGGAAGCAGCAGGAGGAGATAAGGGGACACAAGGTGCGACATACTCACCGTGTATGTCGAGGCAGCCGAGCTCGGATATCATCGGGTCGGTGTTGATCTGGCACATGTAACAATCTCTGTCGGACTCCTTCAGCTGGCGAATGTGCAACCGCCACGTGCCGTTGACGATTTCCTCCGCGGTTTGGCTGCTACCGGTGACCCCGAAGACGCCTGCGGATGCGCCGCCGGAGCCGGAACTTCCGCCGCTCTCGTACGACACCGAGATACGCGCATTGTGCGTCACGGTCCTCGTGTGCACCGAGAGGATCGTCTGATCCGACGCGCGTAGCCAGCCGACCTGGAAAATCGCGACGCCACGCGAGGAATGCAGAGAAGCTGCCGGCGTCGGCGGCAGCCTCTCGCGGCCCCTTCTCGCGAGATACGCGCACTTGGAGCACTCTTCGAGGGTGCGAGCGCACGCGGAATTCCGACTTCGATTCGTCGCCGAGAGAGAGAGAGAGAGAGAGAGAGAGAGAGATTGTCTCGTTTTTCACCCGATTTCAATACAACCGCGCGCCCGCTCGGTATCTAATTTTTCTATTGTTTCCGGATACGCGAATAGAAGGAATCGTATAAACGCGGCATGCCTGCGGGATATTCCGCGGTGAATAACGCGAACTTTACTCGTTAATGCGTTGCCAGCGACGAGTAATATTTTGATGCAATATAACGCATCATTTCGACGCGTATAAAACATGCTTTTGTAATGTTAATCTTTACTACAATATTTCATGGTCATTAATACATGCATCTCGCATGTGTTACTAGATGCGCGCTGCTCGTCTAGCGGCGGTAAAATAAATATTATTATTATCGTCGTTATTATTAACGTATACGCTTTTAATTATAAAAGTGTTAAATATAAAGGATAAAACAGTGAGTAAAGCGCCGTGTTAACAACCAAAGTGTAAATGTGTTTTCCCGGGACACATCTCAACTCTCCGCGCGCGCATATTTTGCAGTTTTATTTTAGGGAGAGAGATTGCACGCGCATGACAACCGTCGTCGGATGCCGCTGCCGTATCTCTGAGACACTTGTCTCCCCCTCCCCCCCCCCGCCCGTCCTCTCTTTTTATTCAACCCTACGACTTACTTTTCCTCTCTTGTCCGGATTAAGGATCTCCCGTGTGTCGGCGGGAAATGATTTTTTCCCCATCTCCTTCGCGGCAAAGGCACAAGCTCCGAGCTTGCGAGCGGAGGCCCACGACTCGTCTCGCCTCGCCTCGCCTCGACCCGACCGCGATTTGTTTCACCTCCGTCGACGATGGAGACGCGCGACGCCGTATGAAGATTAAGCGCGCACGTTGGCAGAGCGAAAGCGTGAGAGAGATAGAGAGAGGCATTTTCACGGCGAATTTCTCACTCGCGGCGATTCAATATTGCCGCGTGGCACGTATCCAGCGAGCGGCTACGTGACCTTTAACGCCCGCGATTTCGGAATGTTCGGCATTTGTTGTTACGTCGCGTTTTGTCATCTCGTCGCGCTTCCTCTTCTCTTGTTCCTCGCCGTCGCGACGGCGAATATTCCCCGAACGGTCGCGGGCCGGTCACCGAACGTGCGACTTTCGGTCGCACCACCACCAGCCAGCCCAGAAAATCCCCTTCGTCGCGGCGCTAGATGGGGGGAGGGGGGAATTTGCGCGATTCGCCGCGGAAGGAATTGCGAAAGAGTCAAACGGCCGTAAAAACGACTCCTCCGGTATTCCGAGGACGACCACTCGGCGCAGTTGAGATCCCATTAAGGAATAAAATGCCATCAACACGGCGAATGCGTGTGAATTTAATCGGCATGGCCCATTCATGTTTACGCTCGGCCGTTTACGCTCGACATCATTACCTTGTACTTGCCGATGTTGCGAACGCTGCACGAGAAGACGACCTCGCGACCAATCGCGGCGGTTTGATTCCCAACTGGAGCTACGAAGATCGGGCCTGTGGCAGTGTTCGTTGAGTCTGCAACATATATTTCGACCGAGTGAGAGAAATCTCAGCTGCGGGCTGGCGCGGTGTAAAATTCAAGTTAGAGAGACCAGTCAGAGGAAGAGAGAAAGAGACAAAGGGCCAGGGCAAGAGAGACTCTTGAGAGAGCCCTAAAAGAATGTGCACGCGATAATTTCGATAACTATCGTCTATCACAACGACGATCGGACATTTTTCGCTCTAAACACTTGGGAGTGCTCTTTGGTTGGGGCGATTGACGCTCGAAACGACTGAAACGAGATCTGACAATGACACGGAGAAGAAACCGAAACAGAGAGGAAACCGATATATAGCGCAGTTCGCAAAAAGCCGACGGAATGAATTTTAAAGTCCCGCTATCCGGACACGTCAACCTCGCGACGCGGGGCATTGCGGCGAGGTAGGGGATGGGGGTAATTTTTTAGCGCGCCCACGTGCATTATATCTGCGCAAGATATTTCCATTTTTAGACGCACACACATACATCCTCCTCCTCACGCGCATAAATTCCCGCGAAATACAAACCGATAGCTTACCGCGCCAGTCGGCTGATAAAAAAATAATAATTCGATGCCATTATCGCCCGCTATTTTTAGTCCGTCCGTTCGTCCGCGCGACGACGACGACGAGAGATTAATGGAAAAATATCGGAAGGCGGAAATTCCATCGTTATCCCATTCATTAGGGTGACAGTGAAATTTCCTTTGAAAATATCTCGACGAGCGACGCGCGCGCGCGCGTTCGCCTCTTCATGGCGGAGGAGGGTAATAAGTGCATGTCGCGAAGTTTCTTAAGCACTGTCAAGGGTAGCTAATTATCGCTGCTTATTCACGCCTGTTGGTGGATTACGACGTCCCTAAACAGATAATGTCAAGTGGCTCGGAGTTGCGGCGAACTTGGTGGCGAAGCTCCCGGCGAACTTTGACCGGGGGAACCCGCTCCGCGCGTGAAATTCTTGTTCGAGATACGGCGTCTCGCGCGTTTGTCCTCCCCTTCGCCCGCTCATCCGCTCCACCACCCGCCGGCGTACCGATCTTTTTATTTGACGCCACACCGAGAGAGAACGTGACGCGGCACGAATACTCGATAAATAAGCATCTCTCCCGTCGACCTTTCTGCGTAGTGGGTGGATAGCTGTCTCTTAACAAAAGTATTACGACCGTACTCTGTCATCCTGGCTGACACGCTTTGTCATAACGCGCGCTCACGAATGCGCGCGCGCGCGCGGCAGGAGAGATGCAACTCACGGAAATATAATCTCGGATTAAGGGAGGAGGCGAACGCCGCTGCTCAAACATTGTAACGATCGTCTTTATTCCGCGCTTTTCCCGCGCCTTATTTCCCCGTCTCTCTCCCGTCGCAATCGTCGTTTCTCCCTTTCAGCCTTCCTTCCTTCCTTCCTTCCTTCCTTCCTCTCTTCATCCTTCTCTTTGTCCTCCTCTTCCTCCTCCTCCTCCTCCATTGCTTCGACTTGCCGTTGCTACATGACAATTCCACGCGACCGACTGCAACGTCTCGGCCCGACGTAGGCAATATCCAAATTGCCTCCGCGGATTTAACGTTCCCGAGATGGCACCGCGGGACAAATCGCCGGGGAAATGAAACGAGCTGCCAGATTAGACAGTAGCTGCAACGTCCCTCGCCGCCGTAAAAAGAGAAAAAAGGAGGCCGGGCAATAGCATCGCCGCGCCGCGCCGCACCGCGTCTAGCCGGTGTGGAAACTCGCACCCTTCTTCGCGGAGTCTCAGCAAACGACTCAGATTCTCCTCGGCGGGGATGGGATAAATGAAAGAGAGAGAGAGAGAGAGTGGGGGAAAGAGTACGTTAACACGACGAAGAAACTCAAATTTTCTTATCGCTGGCGTTATCTCGAAATATCCAGAGCGTCGCGACGTCTCGCGACTCGACGCACCGTCGTCGCTCGATCACTGTTATCGCCCGGGGACGATTAGCCAGTAACGAAGCAACCGTCGTCCGTGTCACGCTCCACTTTCGTTTCTCGGAGTATCACCTCCTTCCTCCTGGCACGACGACTCGGAGAATCGAGGCTACGGCCCACCCTATCCGTATTCAAGGCAATCAACGGCCAGACGTCCTTTGCATTTTTATTACACGTAGCTTACTCGCGGAACCGAGACTTCCCTTCGTAACTTCGCGACTCTGTAATACGATCGAAGGAGTCGGCAAGCCGTTTCCCTCCCCTGCCTCGATTCTAGTAGTCGTGATGATTCGTTGATCGCGATTTTCGGCGCACGTGGCCTGTTTCGCCGTGGCTTGTCTCGCCCCGAGATTCCACGGGTACGGGGATATGTCGCTTCCTCGTCGCGCATCTGTTTGACTGATAACGAGACTACAATTCCGAGGTTATCTGTCGTCCGCGCGAGAAAGCACAGCTAGGCGAATAATAACGCGTCGCTGTCGCGCTTTTTCGCCCCGGCGCGGCGTCGCGCTCGCCGATAACCGAGAGAAAATAATCAATCATCTTCGACATTCTGTAATTTCCTCTCTCGTTCTCGTCCCATCTCCTCTCTCTCTCTCTCTCTCTCTCTCTCCCTTTCCTTCGTTCTTACATCACTTCTTATCTCGAGTATTTCAAAGTAAAGTTAACGCGTATGGAATCAATACGGTCGCCGCGCGCGGCGCAATCATTTTCTCGCCTCAAAGGAGGGCTGACGGTGAGAGCGTCGGAATCAAATTCCGCGGGCGCGCGAGCGTGTATCTCGATAAATACATATTGATACGAGGGGATTACGGCGGGAGGACACGTCGATGTACGTGCGAGCGATGTACGTGCGATTTTTTATACCTCCTCTTTTCTAACGCCTGGCCGGCGAAGGCCACTTTCCATGACGCGGCGCAGCCCAGGACGAAGAAGAGGTAGAGGAAATCCCCTTTCGGGAATTTCTTGTTTCCCGCCCACGATCGATCGATTCGTCGCTTCGCTTCGCGAGGCCGAGCCGGGGTATTCCCATTGAAAGATCGCGGGGGTATAAATCCAGAATGGTGGAGCCCTCGAGGAACAAACAGGACAAAAGCATAAACGCCATCTCTCGAGGCAATCGCGTCGCGTCGCGGAAAATCGCCGTGGCGTGATTCCTCCGGGCTTTTCGGCAAAGAGTTTTTCTCCAAATACATGTATATACGTGTGTGTGTGTGTGTGTGTGTGAGAGAGAGAGAGAGAGAGAGAGAGAGATTATGGACGCTGCTCACGGTGTCGGTTTGTCAAAATCGAATTATCACGATGGAGACGATCACGCGGAATTCGCGATCGTGAGTGGAGCGCGAAATGAAGGCGCGCGAGTGTGCCTCTGGACGATTTCGCCGAGTGTGTCTCTCTAACTGAGCGCACGAAGGATCGCGCGTGGTGCTGGAAGAAACTCCGGCGGGAATCGAAAAGTGCGAGAGCGCGCGATAAGTTTTCAAACATCCGCTATAAATCGCTGCGGCGGAGATATACGATTCCGAGTGCGCGCAATGTGCGCGGCGGAAGTTATTATTAAACGTCGCGCAGTGATTTCCGAGCTAATGAAGGACGCGAGAACTATAAATCTCACCCTCTCGCTCGTGTCCCGATATATATGCATGCGCATGTTCAAGTACGCGTATAAACTTCTCGCGAAACTCCAGACATCTCAAGAATATTCCAATCTCCGTGCACACCGCGGAGAGGCGAGCAAGGCTCTAGATATGAAATTCTCCTGAGCGAGACCGGCACGCGAGCGGGATCTTTCTCTAGCTGTGCATATATGTACATGTGTAATATATGTATGCGTGTACATATGTGTACATATATGAATATATGCATATATATATATATATATATACACATGTATATACATAACAAATTTTTACTTTCACCCGCGTACACACGCTACGTGCCCGTACGCGAACAAAATACAAATCCTAGCGAATGCACGCAGAGTCTTTTATTAAGAAACGTGTAAATGTGCGGAAAATCTCGCTGGTGAGGCGAAAAGCAGAGAAGCGAATTTTACGAAGGGTAAATCACTCGGCTCGCTTTGCAACGCGTTAATGTGAAATGTATTCCGAGAATCGATAAATGTGAAAACCGAGCGTTACGGCAAAATCGAAGAAACGGATGAAAGCGTTTAATTAACACAAATCGGAAAGGTATTTCACACGACGATAGAAGCGACTTTTTAAAGAGGCGAGCGTTACAAAAATCACGAGCGTTTAGTCAAGTATTCATCTCTCTCGGACCGTATTAATTAAACATCCCTCCTCCTTAAACATGCCCCCGTCTAAGTCCGTCTAGCGAGCAGGAGAAAGAGGAGGAGGAGGAGGAGGAGCGGCAGAAGCAAGAGGAGCGTTCGGCGAATTATCGATACAATCAGTTTAGCGACGCGAAACCGCACGGATGGATGAAGCGCGGCGGGCAGCGTGTCCTTGAACGGTGATGCCTGAATTGATAGTCGCACTTCTAGTTTCCCGAACGACGATATACACCGATTCGCAGACAGGTATAAACGGATTGCAACGGACGCGCCGCGCCGCGCCGCGGCGAACACAGTTCGACTTGGAACTTGGATGGGACTTCCGATTATTATGCCAATTGCCGAGTAATTCGCCGCTCTTCGCCGACTACTCTCAGCCGCAGAGATTAGATTCGTCTCTCGAAAGATGTAATCTCCGGCCGCGCCCCGCCGACGGCCGGGGCAAATAACAAAAGGGACGGTCGCGAGAATCGCGGAAAGCCTGATAGTCGGCCTTTCCCCTTCTCCGCTCTCCCTCTCTCCACCACGCCGCCCACTATCATCCTCTCTATCATCCTATCGATATCGATTCGCAAAAAAGTCAAACGGGTCGTTCGCGGTCCGCGGCGGAATTCCAGCCCGCGACTCCGGGCCGGGCAACAGAATGGTGCCGCCGCGATTTCGCCCTCCTCTCCCCCTCACGCCGTTTCCCTCTCATTTACAATTCCAATCTCTCAAACGGGCGAAACGAGCGCGACGCGCTTTCTCTCGACGATGGGA